GGCTGCAGGAGACGCTCTCCCGCCACTGTGGACAAAGCTCAGAGACAGACACAGGCGTTCCGGCACAGAGAGCGCTCACATGCTCCTTTGACCCCAAGTACTTCCACCTCCTCCCTGTCCTCTCCCCTCCTCTCTCCCCCATTCCCCCACCTTCACCCCTAAAAAAGTCAGATGGTGAGACATGGTGACTGGCTTTAAATAATCACAACCGGCTATTTTAGGCCTCTGGGGACCGGGTATATTTTCTGAGCTGCCAGAAACACACCTTGCATGAAGCAACACCTGTTGAGGCCTGACTTCCGGGACCGCCAGCCCGGCACCCGGGCGGGGCAGCTGGAAGACAAGACGGAGGCCTGCCTCCCCCTGCTGGCGAGCCTGAGGACCACACCCCCTCTATACTGGGTCCTCTGGAGAGACAGTAACTCCGCCTGTTCCTCCTTCCCTCTCCCTCCTCCCAGGGAACCAGAGAGTTTTACTGCGGCGAGAAAGAGATCTCTGTCACCCAGAGGCAGGGTTCCCCTCCCTGTGGGGCGGAAAAAAAAGATGAGGCTCAGTAAGTGTGTGACTCCCCTAGCCTCCCCGAGGAAGTCCGAGCCTCTTTCTCTGCAGAACCCAGGAAGTGGCAGGCGTGTCCTCCTGTGTCCTCCTATCTCCGGGGCCAAGGCCTCCTCCCTACCGTGTTCCCCATCTCTGTCTGCTGGGTCGCTCCATGAGCATTTTAGCTAAAGGAATGGCTGATGTTCAACAGATCTGCAGCCAGAGAGATGCAGCGGGGCCAGGTGGTCTAGTGCCTCGTGGGTTGGGGGTCCTGGAGGAGCTGGAATCTGGGGTCCAGGAGAAGGGAACTCTCCCACGGGGGGTTCCTACTCACAAAGGAGACAAGCCAGACGACTCTACTGAGAAGTCACATTGCTGCCCCAAGCAGAGTCAGCGCTGAGTGTACAGCTGGAGGTAAGTGGCCCCACGGGTGAAGGTTGGAGGGCTCCGGATTAAGCCTATGCTGGGGAGCTTAGTCTGGGAGCAGGTGCCCTGACCTAGATCATGGCTTCCTCATGAGAAAGCTCCTGAGTCACGCTTCCCTCCACACTCAGCATCTTCCAGATTACGGGAAGCGCTTGCCTGTGCTTCTTGGAGGGGCCCCTCTTCCTCTCTCCCTGAGAACATGGGGGTGGGAACAATGTTCGTGTCCGGCTTTCCTCAGACCCGGTCTCAGTTCTGCTGGACACCCCTGGGCTCCAGCTGAAGCGAGTCCTGGTGACTGACTGCAGCTCACAAAGGAGCTGTTTCTTCCCAGAGTCGCTGGCCAGGGAGGTCTCCCCACCCCCACTTGGCCCAGGCTCTCTACCCTCCGGGCCAGGGCCATGGGAGAAGGAATGTGTGGGGAAGTCCCACGTCTGCCCTGCTGTTCTAGCACCTAGTCTTAGCACCTCTCCAGCCTCTAGGCATCTTGCTGGCTGGTTTGGCGGTAACTGCTGGAGTCCGTTGCCTTCTTCTGTCCCCAAAGCTCCATCTCCTCACCAAGGAGAGGGCTTCCTTCATGGTACCCCTCCTTGCTAATCCCCCGTGTCAGCAAGATCCCTTAGCAACAAGTGCCATCACTGGGCAGTGGGTAAATACCTCCTAAAGAGAAACCCATTCTTACTGAAAAATGGTGATTCTAGGACAAGGGTCTGGAGCCAGATGGACCAGGATCTGAATCCTAGTTCAACCCATTACTTTCTGTGTTGCCCTGGGCAATCTGCATAACCTCTCTGAGGCTGTTTCCAAATCTGCCAGTGGGATGATGGTTTGTATGCATGGGGTTGTGCAGGACTGAAAGGAGATAATACCGTGACTCCACGCGGTTTATAATAAATGTTGGGTCAAGGACAAGTGGAGCTAAAGGTAGCAACTGGAATATTAATACTACTATAAATTTTTAGGGAAATGTATTTTGAGGTAAACTACCAACATGTGAACTCTGAATTTTATTTTTTTAAAGGAATATTTTTATTGATTTCTGAGAGGAAAGGAGAGGGAGTTAGAAACATCAATGATGAGAGAGAATCATTGATTGGCTGCCTCCTGCACACCCCCCTTACTGGGGATCAAGTCCAAAACCCGGGCATGTGCCCTGACCAGGAATTGAACCCTGACTTCCTGGTTCATAGGTCCATGCTCAAACACTGAGTGTGAGTTTAAATTTTAAAAGAGAAAATAAAAAACTGAAAGGAATATTTTTACTTGCTTTGGGTTATCATCTAACCTTGAGGGTTAAGAGTCGGCCTGTGCGGGTATATCCATGGAAGAGTCTGCAAGTGATGTGTGTGAGTAGCCAGCTCCTGCCGGGTGCACAGTGGGGTGGTGGGGACTCATATGTAATCGCTCCCTAAAGAGTCCTGGCTCTCATGGGCTTCAACCACTGACACCAGGACTCTTGGTGTGGGGTGGTGTCCCCTCTTGCAAAATCACTAGGAGCATCAGAGAGGTGGGCGGGAAGAGTCTCTTTTTTTCAGGCTCCAGGGTGATAGGCCTGGGGGAAGATAAGTCAATCTGTTCCATGTATCAATGCCTCTGTTTGTACTTTGTGCATCCGTTTATTTTGTTTATTAGAATCCACTGAGAAGTGAGATCACATGGTATTTCACTCTCTCTGACTGGCCTTATTTCCCTTAGCATAATAATCCAGGCCCTTGCCGAAACTGGTTTGGCTCAGTGGTAGAGCACCGGTTTGGGGACTGAAAGGTCCCAGGTTCGATTCCGGTCAGGGGCATGTACATTGGTTGTGGGCACATCCCCAGTAGGGGGTGTGCAAGAGGCAGCTGGTCGATGTTTCTCTCTCATCGATGTTTCTAGCTCTCTATCTCTCTCCCTTCCTCACTGTAAAAAATAAATAAAATATATTTTTAAAAAATAATAATAATCCAAGCCCTTCCCTGTTGTTGCAAAAGGTAAGACCTCTCTTTTTCACGACTAAATAGTACTCTATTATGTAAATGTACCAATCACCTACTTTTTTATCCCCTCATCTACTACTAATGGGTTCTTGGGCTGTTTTCAAATCTTGGCTATCGTAAATAATGCTGCTGTGAACACAGGAGTGCATATATTCTGTCAGCATAAGAAACATTCTGGACAAAGGGAAATTACTTCTTTTCTGCAAGTAATTTCCCTTTGTCTGGGGTCTGGACAAAGGGAAATTACTTCTTTTCTGCAAAGGCGTGTTTATCAGGTATGTCATTCCAGATGCAAAAAGACGGCTTTCTTTGTTAAGGTGAAGATTGGCCTTTGTCAGGGAAGATTCTGGCGTAGGACATGGCCACCTGCCACAAACTGCTTTCAGTCCCAAAGTTTTCATTGGAGACCCTCCTCCGTGGTTCCTCTCGGTCTCTGAGGCCTCCCCAGAGCTTGTCAAGTTTAGCATGTGGCCCTTTTTTACTTTTTGAGGAAACTTGGTGCCATTCTCCCCAGCGGCTGCACCAGTCTGCCTTCCGCCAGCAGTGCATGAGGGTTCCCTTTTCTCCACCTCCTCTGAGCATGCTTCTGAGTTTCCATCCAGTGAATCCCAGTCTCCCACCTGGCTCCTCTGTCTGTGTGCACTTTGACCCCCAGGTTCTGTGGACTTGGGGCTGGCGTCCTGGGTGTTGGGAACCAGTGGCCAGCCCTCCTGGGACTGCCACAGAAATAGCTCATGAGGGGCCAGTTGCACGAGAGCAAAGGGCATGACTGGCCAGAACCAGTATAAGCTCAGCACAGGGCCAGGCACCCAATTACGGAGTTAAGGACTCTGTTTCCGGCTGCTCTGTCTGCTTCTGTTTTTCGTACATGTTTGCCTCTTGACAGCCAGACCCTTGAACTACTCCTGACCTCCAAGCTCTGTGGTGAAGCCATCATTCCTCTGTGTGACACTGCACTTGTATTTCAGCAGAGACACTTCTGAGCTTTTTGCATGGGTTTGGCTGACAAATTCAGTCACATATCCAGGGAGACATAATTACATCTACTGGGTTTGAGACTTCTCAGGTCCCATTGCCTTTCTAGAGGAGGTACAGCTGGAGTTTCAGGGAAGCTAAATCAGAACTGGGGTCCAGGGTTTTTGTTCCATGTTGTAGCCAGGTCCCGCTCAGCATCCGGCTAGTGGCAGTCCACCAGTCCATTGGGTGTGGGGTCCCCATGGCTGTGGCAAATGCAGGAAGCAGGAGCAAGAGAGCCCGGCACGTCAGGAGTCAAGAGCAACCAAGAGAGCGAACTCCTTTGTTCAGGGGAATAAATATCCCCAAGTTTCATGCTCTTGCAGTGGCCACACCTATTCTGGCCAGTGGGCTAGTCTGAGGTGTGACTGACAACAAGCACTTTCCTTTCGTCACCCTCAGTTTCCTGGGCATGTGTCTGTTCTCTTCTCTGTCCAATCTGTGGGAAAAGATGCGTGGCTCCCTGGAGAGGGCAAAACTTTAGCATTCTGGTGAAACTGCCCAAATGACATTCCTGTAATATTTGGCCTCTCCTTTGCTCCTTTCCTGTTATTAACAACTAGAGGCCTGGTGCACAGAATTCGTGCATTGGGGGGGGGTGCTGGGGGAAGGGTCCCTCAGCCTGGCCTACACCCTCTTGCAATCTGAGATCACTGGCTCCTAACTGCTCGCCTGCATACCTGCCTGATCACCCCTAATCACTCTGCCTGCCTGACTGTCCCTAACCACTCTGTCTGCCTGCCTCATCACCCTTAACTGCCTGCCTGCCTGCCTGATCACCCCTAACTGCTTGCCTGCATGCCCAATCGCCCCTAACTGCCTCTGCCTCTGCCTCAGCCCTGCTGCCAGAAGGTCGTTCTTTGTCCAGAAGGTGGTTCGGCTGTCTGGTCTAATTAACACATTATGCTTTTATATTATAGATATTAGCTGATTACAATAGCGTCAAAAGGATAGTTTTCTAGGAAGGAACTCAGTGTTCTTTGTTCTTCCTCATTCTTTCTGGTTATGTCAGTTTTCTTTGTGATGGCACAGGAAGGAGTGCAGTGCTGTTTAGATGACTTCCTCATAGGTAAATAGCGTTGATTTGTCTGGCGATGTGGGCAGTGAGTGAGGTTTCTCCACCTGCCAGGCAAACACAAGCATGCAGAGCGCTGAAGGTAGGCAGGCCTCTGTACCCCTCAAGGAGAGCCCTCCATCCCAGATACTCTTTACTGCCAAGGTTAACCCAAGCCTCCCAACTTCGCCTGCTCCACTGTGTGATCACTCTGACCTTGTTAAATGCTTAAGGCAGTGGTTGGCAAACTCATTAGTCAACAAAGCCAAATATCAACAGTACAACGATTGAAATTTCTTTTGAGAGTCAAATTTTTTGGTAGGTACATTGTTATTAACTTAATCAGGGTACTCCTAAGCTGGCCTTTCCTAAAAACTCAAAGGGCCAAAGAGCCGCATGTGGCTCACGAGTCGCAGTTTGCTGATCACTGGCTTAAGGAGCTGAACTTTTCTTCCAATAATCCTCTAGAACCAACCTTTCCTTTCACCAAGTAAACTGCTTTCCCCTCCCTCATCTTTTCTGATCTGGTCCGACAGGGAGACAGAAGCCTCACTGCTGCTGGCAAGTGTGATCTGTGAAGGAATAGACTTTAAAGCTGACTGTCTTCGCAGTCAGACTCAGCGGGGTGTGCAAACCAGATGCATCAGAAGTGGAATATAGAAAGGCAAAGCACATCTCCCCTGCTTCCAGCTTACTGGTGGCTCAGAAGCAAGCTGAGGTCTCCTCCCAGGCACAGTCTCGCCACGGCCTTTTCTCTGTGTCCCCAGTGAGGGTCCTGCTGAATTTTCTATCATTCTTACCTAGAAGCTCTCTCCTACTCTATTTTGTTCCACATTACCCCCATTTGATTCTAAAACATAATTCTCTTCTAGTCTCTATATGCTATGTAACTGTAAGCAAAGGGAATGGGGACATCCTGGGGAACTTCTCATCCCAGATCAGGAAATATGAAATCACTGGGGCCCGAGAAATTTTAAGCTAAGCTTGAACTAGCAAAAGTGATAGAACAACTAACGTGAAATTTGGCTCTAATGATTCTTACCTTTAGGGGTATTTGCACTGTGGAATAAAGAGAATTTATTGAATTTTCCTCTGGAATAGTTGTCTGTTAAAAAAGAAGAAGAAGAAGAAGAAGTCATCATCCATCCTTGGGTCACATAAACAAGGCCAAAGAGATGCTGAGAATGCAAAGGAAAGAAAGCAGAGAAGGGAGGAGAAAGCAGGAGGGACAGAGGGTTCTGGAACAGGAATGGGTAGTGGGAAGTGCTCTTGTTGATGATTGTAATTACAATTATTAATAACTTGTTTACAAAATAATCAGATTATTTTAAAACTGTGTTGTGTTTAAGTGAACTTAAAATATATAAGATATAGCACTAGCCAGTTTGGCTCAGTGGATAGAGTGTTGGCCTACGGACTAAAGGGTCCTGGGTTAGATTCTGGTCAAGGGCACATGCCCAGGTTTCGGGCTCTATTCCCAGCAGGAGGCAGCTGATAGGTGATTCTCTCTCATCACTGATGTTTCTCTCTCTCTCTCCCTCCTTCTTCCTTCCTCTCAATAAAAAAAATATTATATATATATATATATATATATATATATATATATATATATATATATGTATATGTAAGCTATATAAATCTCATGAGCTATGAGCCTCCAAAGCGATTAAAGGATAATTTGAATAATATTATTAATTGTTGCAAATAAACTTTGTCATCAATCAAAAGGGCCTTTGGAACCAGTCAGTAAAGATGACTGATGGGACACAGAACAAAACAAAACAATAACGACAATAACCAAAGCTCCTTCTAGGCTGGTGAAAAGTCTCCTGGATCATTGAAGTTTATTCCTGAACATCCAAAACATCCAGTCCTGTGGTCTCCTGGGAATGTGTCTCCAGCAGGATGGATGCACCAGAAAGTGATCAATATTGACAGAAGCCAGGCTCAGTGCAGCACAGAGCAGTCTCCCCACAGGAAGAAAAGAGCTCTCGGGACACTAACATATAGGGTCTCCTCTTGGAAAAGTTGTAGGTAAGAGTAGGAGGCTGGATGAAACTGGCATCCGGAGGCTCTAAGGTGTTCCTTTTATCACATGGGCCTCTGGGGGAAAGCCCTCCATGACCACGGAGGAGCCAGTCCAGCCTGGACTGCAGTGATTGATCTCGGGGGTGAGGGTGTGAGTGGGGAGAAGGGACTTGCAAAGTTCTCTAGTGCACGTCTCCAGATTGCCTCTGTCTATTTAGCTTTTACAAAACGTTATACTCTTTTCAGCGAGTTTCCTTTGGATTAAACCTTGTGTTCATTTACTGTAGTTTGGTGACCCGCACTTGGAAAGTCTTGAGTGTGGTTGAGAGCCACCAGGGGTCTTCTGAGTCCTTTTCTGATGGCTTCTTGAGAAAAAGGCATCTCTACGTCCAGTCTACTGGCATCACAACGCAAACATCATGTCAAAACCACACTACTCTACCTGGTGTCCTATGCAAAAGGAAGCAGGCCTGCTGAGGAGCTGTTGAGTAGCTATTGTGAACTGTGGAGAGAAGGGGTCATTCCACAGATCACAGTGTGAGCATTACTGGTTGAATCAGAACCAGGTGACCCAGAGGTCACCAGCTTCTGCATAAGAAAGAATCCACAAAGACTCGGGGAAGAAATGGTGTGTTGTGTTTCAAGGATTGTACATCCTCATCTCTCAGGTTGTCCAAATCCATGGGAAAATCTCAAGTAGAACAAAAATGGCCTCAGAGAGGAGGATAAGGCCCCCCCAAAATATAGGAATTGACTCACATTTCGGTTAGAGATTGTATAATACTCTGAGGTCTCTCCAGAAGGGGGATAGCAGTTAAGAATTTCCAGATGCATGTCCGTTCTCTTCTCTTCATTGGACTTTTCTACAACCAAGTTGAAAGAGAATCAGAGTTGGCCCCTCCTTCCATTCACTACCCCCATTGGCTCACCACGCCATCTGACAACCTACTTAGAGTGACCAATTATACTGGTTTCCCTGTAACTAAAAGGTTATTCCAGGACATGGGACTTTAAGTGCTAACCCCAGGAAAATCCCAGGATTTTTTTGGTTATCCTCTTTACTTCCCAGGCTCCGAAAGGGGTAGGCACTGGAGAGAGAACTGGAAGGACCTTGGCCTTAGGAGAGAAGCCAGAACTAAGGGATGCAGGCTGATGTTGTTCTCCTTGAGGCAGAGAATAAGACCTCTTCATTTCTGTACCCTTAGGCCTACCACCAGTTTGTTGAATTAATGAGGGAGTAGGTACATGAATGAGGGTGAAGACAAAAATGGTACATGCTCTACCTTTTACTCTTAGTCTCCATGTAGTCAAAAGAATTAACACTGATACAAGGACAATGAGCAGTAAGGTAATCCACAGGGCCATGGTGGAATCTAGGTCACCAGTAACACCTGTAGAGAGAGAACGGGAGGAGGCCCAGGGAAGGAATCAGAGTGAGCTAAGGAAAATGACCCAACTTTTAGAGCAACTGCTACTTTCCTCCCAGTCTGGTGACTTCCCAGGGGCCTCCAGTTTTTATACAGGGCCCATTCCCACGGAGACCAGGAGCGAATGAAGACAGAGATCCTGGGACTTTAGGCTTCTAGAGAAAGGGGAGAGACAGTCACCTTCACAGAGCTTCCGGGCAAAGATGGGGTTTGAAGAGTTGCTGCTAACGGGGTTCCTGGCCATGCAGATGAAGGCCATGTCCTCTTCCTCCTGCCTCCAGGTTATGGGGAGAATGGAACCATTATGGGACTTGTTGGAGGTCATCCCCAGGGACTTCCAGCTGTAAGTCACATCCTCTCCTCCCCGTTCCAGGAAGCATGTCAGATTGGCCACACAGGTGCCGTTTTTATTGTTCTGCAGACCCAAGGTGATTCTGGGCTTTGATAGGTGCTCTATAAAAGAGAAATGGACAACCAAGGGTGGAAACTATGCCCATAGCACTCTTTTTCTAAATTATTCTATAAGCTCTGGACCTGATCCTCTCCGAGGTGCTGCAGAGTGGGGCAGAAGTGGCAATTTAGAGCAGAATTCTCATTCTTATCTGGAAAAGAGAACTATTTAGGTCTGCTTGTCCACAGCTATCCAGCAGCAATAACAACAATAGTAAGATCTATAATAATAAAATCAAGATATGCTAATTTCATGCACCAGGCCTCAAGTCATCAAGAATGCAGCTGCTGGTTACTAAGCACAGCCACATGGCAAGTATTGTGTTAAATGTATTTTAGATGTAAGCTAATTTTATCTTTTTAAAAAAATATATATTTTATTGATTTTTTACAGAGAGGAAGAGAGAGGGATAGAGAGCTAGAAACATAGATGAGAGAGAATCATTGATCACCTGCCTCTTGCACACCCCCTACTGGGGATGTGCCCACAACCAAGGTACATGCCCTTGACCGGAATCGAACCTGGGACCTTTCAGTCCACAAGCCGATGCTCTATCCACTGAGCCAAACCAGTTTCGGCTAATTTTATCTTTTTTAGAGGCTCTTCATTTCTTTGTCATTAGACTTCCTTGAAGAGACTTTCCCTGAATTCTTCTGGATGAATGACACTTCTGGGGTCCCTCCCTACTTGGTGCTCACTCCTCTCTCTCAGAGGATGAGCAGTTGGCTCATTGCTGAGATGGTGAGAGTCTGACTTCTATCATCTGCATTTCTGTACTTGTGGGTTGAAGTGTGAAGACTGCTGCCAAATGTGGTTTGCCCTTTCCCTAGCTAGTGTGCCTGCAGAATGCATTCTTCTGTTCCCTTTAGCCGTGTATATATGGAAGACACACCTGGATCAAGGTGAATGGCCTACCTCCTACAAGTAAACCTGGAGGGCCATCTCCTGGTGTCTGTGATATTGCATCTCAGTGAGTGAGGCAGCTCTTCTTATAGCTAGTGGTTGAATAATTGTTTTGTAAATTCATCTTTCTTGAATGGGCTCCAAGGTCTAGACTTGGGGGGAAATATTTATCCTAGATTGCTTTAAAAGAAAAAAAAAATAATGCTTATTTATTTATTTATTTATTCATAATCCTCACCCAAGGATATGTTTTTATTAATTTTTAGAGAGAGAGGAAGAGAAGAAAAAGAGATAGAGATATAGATAGATAGATAGGTAGGTAGGTAGATAGATAGATAAAGATAGAGATAGACATCAATCGGTTGCCTCCAGTACTTGCTCCCACCGGGGTACCGAACTTACAATCTAGGTCTGAGTCCTGACTGGGAATCCAGTGTGAGCGAAAATGCCCAACCAGTTGAGCCACCTAGACAAAGCAAACTAAAGCTATTTTTATCTTTTTCTATTCTTGTGTCTATTTCTCAATTGATTGGAATCCGAGGAAAAAGAAGTGTGATTGATGTTTATACCCGATACACAGGTATCACTTTCCTCCCCATTACCATTACGGAAACTAAGTTTCGGAGCAATTAAGTAATTTGGCTAAGACCGGGCAACTAGTAAATGGAGAAGCCAGCATTTGACCTATGTGATTGCACTTCCCATGTCACCCACCTGCTGCACCACACCGCCTCTTACAGGACCTCTGAGGAGAAGGGGGTTTCAGAAGTCAGCTACATCTACTTCAACCATGCAGGAGTTCCATCTTCCACCTTCTTGCCAAGTGTTTATCCTGCCTTTGCTGAAACATCTCCAATACCAGGGAGTTTACCACATTAGCTGGCAGTCACTGTACTCACCATAGACCCGCAGCCCATACTTCTGGATGATGGGCTTCTGGAGGGACGAGCTGTGTATCTCAACTACGTAGTCACCCGAGTCATTCTTGCTCAGTTTGCTGAGCTTCAGGGAGTAGTTCCCGCGTGAGAAGGCTACCCTTTCCTGGTTATGGCGGTTAGTCACTATGACTGTGTCTGATGTGTTTGTCGTTGCTGGCTGTATGGTGACAAGAGTAGTGCGTCCAAAGAACCAGATAATGCTGTCAATCCGATCTTGTGAGTGTGTCAGAGGGAAAATCACAAACCCACCAACGCCACCAACCAGCTCCTCCTGGGCTCCAGAGGCTGTGGGTCCTGCAGACACAGAGAATCATAAAATAAACGCGAGTCCCTGCTCTTTCCACCAATTACTCGGCCCCTTTGGGCTCTAGAAAGGTGCCCAGAAAGCCTTTCCGTCCAACCCACCTGGGAAACCTTTTGAAACTTCGTTCCCACGAAGGCATTGAGGCCAGAGCTCCCCCTGAAAGGAGTGGCTCAACCAACCACTCCCCTCCCAGTGGCCTCTGGCTGAGGCAGAGCACAAGACCAGCTCCATCCCTGAGGAGGAGAACTGGGAGGTTACAGTCCAAGTCTCTGCCCACTGCTCCTGGGGGAGCCGAACTAGGTGCACTAGGTGCAGGTGAGGAAGGAGAGCCTTCCTGACGTGGGGCAGAGGTTTTCAGCACAGATCAGAACAGTGGGAGGTAAACTGTAAGTGCCTCAGGATAGTGATAGCTTAAAAATCTGAGGACTAGTTCCCTTTCCCTTTTATGATAGAGTGGATACTTTCCCTTTTATGTCCTTTGGTGACCTCCCCTTAAGCATCAGCTGCTCTCCCAGTACTTCAGAGCGAGAGAACCTGATGCCCCTGGCTGGTTTAGCTCAATGGTTACAGTGCTGGCCCTCAGACTAAGGGGACTCAGGTTCGATTGCTGGTCAAGGGCACATACCTGGGTTGCAGAATCCCTGCCTGGGTCAAGGCATGTACGGGAGGCAACTGATTGATGTGTCTCTCTCACATTAATGTTTTTCTCTTTCCCCTTCCTCTCTACTACCAATTCTCTCTAAAAATCAATAGGGGGAAGAGAGGGGGAGTGCAGGGAGAGAGAAAGAGAGAGAGAATCTGATGCTACCAAATGTTGACCTAGTCCCTTGATTATAGGTCTGGGATCTTGACCAACATTTTTGCTAAATTTAATTTCAAAAGAACTGGTTCCTCTCCCCAGATAAATCTCTTTTAGGAGGCAATTCCTGTTTTCAAACATTATTCTCCTGGGGTGAGGAGCAGGGGGAGAGACGGGCGGGGAAGGCTGTGGGTGTGGGGGAAAGGTGTCAATGGGGGGAGTATTATTGTAATACTTTCAATAATAAAGATAAGTTAAAAATAAATAAGTAAATGCAATGTGGAGTATTTTTGAAAAGCACAAAACTACACACATGCACAAAACACACACATTATTCTCCCTATAATTTATCGGTCAGTGAATATATTCTTTGAATCCCTCGGGCCTTTATCAAATCATCCTGTTAACAAATCTGATTTTTCAAACAACTGCTCTCCCTGCCTCCTTAATACTAAGGTAGGATGGTTTTTCAGTTGTTCTTTGATCACCTCAAAGGTACTAACGTAGTTCCAGTAAATGTTTCAGATGAAATCAATTTTATTTTTAATTATTAATGGATCAGTTAATGCATTTCTACTTTCACTCCAACAACAGAGATGAAGGAATTAATAGTTTACAGTCAAATGAAAGTTGAGTATCACTTTCCCCCAAGTAAGTGTAATTTCTACACTGTGAGTAACTTTTTCTCCACCTGAGGTTTTAGGGAGGTGACAAAACTGCATGTGGCTTTCCTGCTTCAGTATTTTCAGGGTAAATGTCAAAAGGTGTAAATTATGTGGTGATATAAGAAAACTAAAGGCCTGAGTACAATCGCGTGTGGTAGCCCACTGCTGTTTGCAGCCCCCCACCGGCCCACCACCCCACCACACTCTCTGCTCCGCCTGTCTGCCACCCACCTTGCTGCGATCAGAGCCTTTGGGCTGTGGGGGAGGGACCGAGAGGTGCTCAATACACCTCATGGTGACCAGTCATTTGGTCATCCTGGTCATCACGGACACTGGCTTTATATATATGTATATCTATCTATCTATCATCTAAATTTATTTTCAGAAGAACTGGCCCCATTTCTCTGGGTAAATGCCTTTTAGAAGGCAATTTATATATATTTAGAAGGATATATATATATATATAGAGAGAGAGAGAGAGAGAGAGAGATGTCTCCACAGTTCAAGTGAAACTGGAGGATGACATTACAAATTGCCAACATGAGTCTAGATAGAGTATATTGTTCTATCTTAATTGTATCTTCAGGAGGGAAGAGGGGTCATGAGAGAAGAAAGTAGCCCCATGCTAGTCCCTAAATGTGAGTTTAGAGAATAAGGGGGTGAGTCCCAACAAGTTTTGTGTCCCCTTCCCAATTTACTGTGAAAAGTGATGTAGAAATAAAAGACTTCTCGGCTGTCCCCAACTCGACTGCTGTGATGGCTTCTCTGCCTGCCAGTGTGACCCTATAGCGTTTACCATGTCCAGGTAGGTTACGCTTTTCTCATTCAGTCACTCCTCTCTTTAACAAGATTTTTTTTTGGTTCCATATTTATGCCAGGCACTGTTTAGGAGCTGAGGATATAATTGGGGGGCAAGCCAGCCATGGGGTTGGAAGATTATCATCTGATACCTAAGTACCTGTTATAAAAAGGAGAGTATAACCAGTGCTTGGGAAAAATACAGTGAGGGGACTTATCATGACTGTGGGATCAGCTGACTCTAGGCCAGTGATTCTCAACCTTTCTAATGCCGCGACCCTTTAATTCAGTTCCTCATGTTGCGGTGAGCCCTAACCATAAAATTATTTTTGTTGCTACTTCATAACTTTATTTTTCTACTGTTACGAATCGTAATGTTAAGATCTGTGTTTTCTGATGATCTTAGGCAACCCTGCTAGGGTTGAGAACATGCAGTGGGCTTACCACATGTGATTCTTCAGGGTGGCTATTGGACAGAGCCTTTTGCTGTGAATTAGCCAAAAGTCTATAGGCTCTGGGTTCCAGATCACCCAGGAGGGCTGGAGCTGGCTTCTTCTCCCAGGCACATGGAATGCTTTGAACGCTTTAGAGCTCTGAGTTAACCGGAAGTCAGGAGAGCTGGGTTTCCTTCTGGTTCCTTCATAATAATAATTCCTGCAACAAACACTAGTGTAATGGGCATTATCTTTCTTGATCCTCAAAGCATTTCCATGAGATAGAGGTGAAGCTCCACGTTATATAGTTGAGGATACTGGGGCTCCAAGATGCTAAGTGACGTTCCCAAGTCCCCAAATTTGAAAATGAGAGAAGTGGGATGAGAAGTTAGTTAATTCCTCTGTCTCAGGGGTCTGTGTTCTGTCTCACTACTGCCTCACCGCTCACCACTTTGAGTTTCGTGTTCTCAAATTTCATAGGAGAAAGAGAACAACCGGGTTATCACTTCCACCCCCTAACCTGCTCCCCCAAGTCTGCCCACAGTTCAGGTTTTAGGTGAGAACCTGCCATTTACTCCCCCTCTTCCCCCTTTTCTAAGTTTCACTTGAATCACCATTTCTGTTCAGGGAAAAAGTTTATAAGGTGAGAATTTTTTTTTTAATTATTTATTTATTTTTTAAAAAATATTTTTTATTTATTTTTTTACAGAGAGGAAGGGAGAGAGATAGAGAGCTAGAAACATCGATGCGAGAGAAACATCGACCAACTGCCTCCTGCACACCCCCCACCAGGGATGTGCCCACAACCAATGTGCATGCCCTTGATCGGAATCGAACCTGGGACCTTTCAGTTCACAGACCACACTCTACCACTGAGCCAAACCAGCTTTGGCTTATTTTTTATTTAAAAAAAATACATATATTTTAATGATTTTTTACAGAGAGGAACAGAGAGGGATGGAGAGTTAGAAACATGAATGAGAGAGAATCATTGATCAGCTGCCTCCTGCACACCTCCTATTGGGGATGTGCCCGCAACCAAGGTATATGCCCTTGACCGGAATTGAACCTGGGATCTTTCAGTCCGCATGCCCACACTCTATCCACTGAGCCAAACCGGTTAGGGTGGTGAGGACCTATTTTAGGATCAACTGCTTAGAACCAGGGGCTTCCTAAATAAATTTCTAATGAACTCAAGGAGGGAGTGTGTCTGCTCATGCTGAACAGTTGGTGGGGCCAGGTGGTGGGGAAGGAAGGACTGGGAGTGCTGACTGTGTGGTCTTGGGCAGATCACTTCACGCAGGCCTGGGGCACGTGTAAACAAATCAGCTCTGTCAGATCTTCAGAGAGACATCTGCTGGAGGTGCCCGCGGAGTCTGATGACCAGAGGTATACTCCTAACTTATACTCCTAATCTGTTCTGAGATCCCTGAGGGTAAGTAAAATGTTCAGACAGGAGGACTGTGACAGGTGGAGGAAGTTTCCAGTCCTTCATGGCCTTAAAGTACCCACAGTATGAGTTATCTTTATTTTATTTCTCCCGCCACCCCCCACCCCTTTTTTTTTTGGTTAATCTTTACCCTAGGATATTTTTCCTTTTTTATTTTATTTGTTTATTTATTATTATTATTTTTTTAGGGAGAGTGAAAGAGAGAAGGAATGAGAGAGAGAAACATTGATGTGAGAGAAGCACATCGATTGGCTGCCTCCTACATGAGCCCTGACCAGGGCCAGAGCCAGGGGAAAGCCTGTAACCAAGGTATATGCTGTTGACCAGAATCGAACTTTGGACCCTTTGGTCTGCAGGCTGTTGCTCTATCCTCTAAGCCAAACTGAGTTTGTTTTGTAGGACCAATATGAGTTTGTTTTCGAGACAGGGACTGATAAAACTGTTTGGGTTAAGCCCTGACCAGTGTGCTGAGTGGTTAAAGTGTAGGCCTGTGCACTGAAGAGTTAAGGGTTTGATTTCCCCCCAAGGGCACGTGTACCTGGTTCACAAGTGCAAGAAGCAACCAGTAGATCTCACCCTGATTTTTTTCTCTCTCTCTCTCTCCACACCCCTCCCTTCCACTCTCTCTCTCTCTCTTAAAAACAAACAACAACCCAACAACAACAACAAATTTCGCAGATGAGAATTAACAAAACAAACAAAAATGCTTGGTTTAAGAGATAAAATTAGAGAACCAAGATGGCGGCTTAAGCAAATGCTGCCTCCCACAACCACATCAAAATTACAACTAAAATACAGAACAGCCATCATTCAGAACTGCCTGAAATCTGGCTGAATGGAAGTCTTACTTCTAGAGAAATAAAGAAGAAAGCTCATTGAGACTAAAAGAAATAGACTTACAAGTCCAAGAAGCATGGAGAGTCCCAAACAAGATAAACTCAAAGAGGTCCATACCAAGATACATCAAAATTAAAATGACAATGGTTAAAGACAAAGAGAGAACCTCAAAAGCAGCAAAAGAAAAGCAGTTTCCTACAGGGAGTGCTTATATGACTGTCAGCTGATTTCTCAACAGAAACTTTGCAGGCCAGAAAGGAGTGCCAAGAAATATTCAAAATGATGAAAAGCAAGAACCTACAATCAAGATTACTTTACCCAGAAAAGCTATCATTTAGAATTGAAGTTCAGATAAAGAGCTTCACAGACAAGAAAAAGAGAAAGGAGTTGGTCATGACAAAAGCAGTATTACATGAAATCTTGAAGGGTATTCTTTCTTTTTTTAAAATATATTTTATTGATTTTTTTACAGAGAAGAAGGGAGAGAGATAGTTAAAAACATCAATGAGAGAGAAACATCGAGGCCCCTCGTCATTTGTCTGCTCCCCTACCAGTCTGGCCGCCCCTAACTGCCCCCCTGTTTCTGCCGGCCTGGCCTCCCACTAACTGCCCCCTGCCAGCCTGACAGCCCCCTAACTGCTCACCTGCTGGCCTGACCACCTTAACCACCTCTGCCTTGGTCCCTGCCACTGTGGCTTTGTCCAGAAGGAAGTCGGACATCTGAAAGATGTCCGGTTGACTCGGTCTAATTAGCATATTACCCTTTTATTAGTATAGATATGTATTACCAATGGAAACAGAAAATAGGGTGGTAAAGGCCTAGGGTGAAGCGGGAACTGGATGAAGGGGACCAGTGGAGTGAGAGGGACCTGTTATATTCTCAACAATAAAAAAAAAAAGAGAGAGAAAATTAAAATGTTTCCCTTCACCAATATAATTGTTTTACATATCATTTAAAAATATATTTCTAAACATAAAATATATAAGTATCTTATAAATGTATTTAAAGGAAAGACCTTAAATATATATATTACAATCCTCACCTAAGGATATTTTTTTCCATTGACTTTTAGAGAGAGTGGGAGGGAAAGATGGGGAGAGAGAGAGAGAGAGAGAAAAAAAAAAAAAAAAGAACAGAAAAACATATTAATTGGTTACCAACCCCATGGGCCCCGAGCAGGGCCAGGGATCAGGAAACTGTAACCTGAAACTGTAATCGAAGTGTGCGCCCTTGACTGGGAATCGAACCTGTGACCCTTTGCTGATTAACACTCTAACCACTTAGCAACATAGGCCAGGGCTAAATATATATTTATGAAAAAACAAACACACACCTGTATAATATTATTTTGTTTTAAAGATTGTCCTCTAAGGGAGGGAGGGCTAAGGTCCAGGGAAGATGACATCTTCATCTAATCTGTGGATTAGAACACAGGTCCTCCTGATCCCCAACACCACTTCTTCTAGCCCTTCCTTCCCTGGACACTCGGAAGGGGAGTCGGTCCCCGGAGTCCTTCCTTCTCCTCTCTCTTCAGTCTCTTTTCAGAGACCATCAGATGTAAAAGGTGATATTAGATAAGGGAGCAGAGCCTCCTGAGTTGAGTCACAACCCCAGAGTGGTCCCAGGACCTAGAGCTACGCCTCCTAATGGGGAAGGCAGCCAGAAGAACAGGAGGATCTGCTGGACTCACCCATGAGCTGGCAGAGGAGAAAGATGAGGATGAAGTTCGCTGGGGAAACCGGCATACTGCTCTCTGGAGGGCAGTGGTTCAGATGAGCAGCTGCAGCTTCCCTCCTGCCGGTCTCAGGTTTCTTCTCCACTGGGGTCTACAGTGCATGGGCGGGACAAATGAAAATGAGCCACGTCACCTTTTAGTGACGAGTACAAAAGATAAAAAGAAATTGAAACCTGCTGGGACCGGTTTGGCTCAGTGGATAGAGTGTCAGTCTGTGGACTGAAAGGTCCCAGGTTTGATTCCAGGCAAGGGCATGTACCTTGGTTGTGGGCACATCCCCAGTAGGGAGTGTGCAGGAGGCAGCTGATTGATGATTCCCTCTCATCAATGTTTCTAACTCTCTATCCCTCTCTCTTCCTCTCTGTGAAAAATCAATAAAAAATATATATTAAAAAAAATTGAAACCCAAGGTGATGAAAGTCCCATCTCTTTTTTTTTTTATATATATATTTTATTGATTTTTTTACAGAGAGGATGGGAGAGAGATAGAGAGCTAGAAACGTCAATGAGAGAGAAACATCAACCAGCTGCCTCCTGCACACCCTTCACCGGGGATGTGCCCGCAACCAAGGTACATGCCCTTGCCCGGAATCGAACATGGGACCTTTCAGTACGCAGACTGACGCTCTACCACTGAGCCAAACCGGCTTCAGCAGAAGTCCCATCTTACAAAGAGTGGGCGAAGATATTTGTAATACATTATTCCACAAGAATCTTGTATTCATAATATATAAAGAAGTTGTACTCATCATTAAGAATTAGGCAGACAGCCCAATAGATAAGAGGCTCCAATCAGTACTTCATAAAAAAGAATATTGGCCGAAACCGGTTTGGCTCAGCAGTAGAGCGTCGGTCTGCGGACTGAAAGGTCCCAGATTTGATTCCGGTCAAGGGCATGTACGTTGGTTTCGGGCACATCCCCGGTAAGGGGTGTGCAAGAGGCAGCTGGTCGATGTTTCTCTCTTTTCGACGTTTCTGGCTCTCTATCTCTCTCCCTTCCTCTCTGTAAGAAAAATCAATAAAATATACTTAAAAAAAAAGAATATTGAAGTGGGACATCAAGAAAAACCATGAAGAAAAGAAAGCACATAGGAACAAAAGGTCAACAGAGACATTACAGTGATTGTGTGTGTGTGTGTGTGTGTGTGTGTGTGTTAATATTTACCAGAGGGTTTTTTGTCCATTGATTTTTTTTTTTTAAATCATCTATGTGAGAGAGACACATCGATTGGTTGCCTCTCACATGTACCCTGACCAGGGGCTGGAATTGAACCTGAGAACCTTCCGTCCGAAGGCTCATGCTCTACTCACTGAGCCAACCAGCTAGAGGTAAAGAGAATTTTTGAAAAGAAGGAAACAGAAGTGGTAGACCTAAATCCAATCAAACACAAGAAAAAATATTGCAGTCTTCCCTAACTGGTTTGGCTCAGTAGATAGAGCGTCAGCCTGCGAACTGAAGGGTCACAGGTTTGATTCCAGTCAACAGTATGTACCTTGGTTGCTGGCATGTCCCCAGAAGGGGGCGTGCAGGAGGCAGCTGATCAATGTTTATCATAGATGTTTCTAACTATCCCTCTCCCTTTCTGTAAAATAAATAAATAAATAAAACATATATTTTTAAAACAGTGCAGTCAAAACAGGCAGTAAAAACAATGTACGAGGCTGCTGTTGCTGGCTTAACATGGCATACTGTTTGACAGGAAACTTTTTTTTTTTTTCAAAAGTAGAAAGGGTACATCCTATATAATGAAAGGGTAATATGCCAATTGACCCAAATAGCAGAATAACCAGAACGACCCCTCCAGTCACTATGAGGCGCAATGGCTGTCAGGCTCCTATTGCCCAATGTGAACAGGGAACCAGGGGTGGGTGGTGGGGGACGCAGGTGGTGCCAGGCCAAAGCCCCACCCCACCACACAGAGGGAGCGGGGCCTACAAGCAGGCAGAATGGCAGACCTCTTGGCTCCTCCCCCCAGCCAGCAGGCTCCGATTACCTGATGGAGATTGGAGAACTGGGGGTGGTGGCATTGGGGGACAGGGCTGGCTAGGGACAGCTGGGGAAGATGGCCCTCATCGCAGGCCAGGCCTAGGGATTGTACCTGAGCACGAATTTTGTGCGCTGGGCCTCTAGTTCTGTAATAACAGTATAGTAAATACTAAGATTGTTAGGGGTAGAAATAGAATAATGGGTTATAGTTATAAGAAATATTAATCAAGCTCTGTTAACAGTGATGGTTCTATTCTGATTGGAGAAGGCACATGCTAACTTGGCTGAGAGCTGTACGCCCCAGGACATGAAAGGCTAACACTGGAATGCATGAACCGAGAACTTCTCATCATTATGGAAGAATTTACAACCTCCTGACTGAAACAATCTATTCCTGTAGGTAAACACATTTCCCGTAACCTGTAACCATTGCAACTTCCCCATGCCTGTAGTTACTACTCTCCCATGTAATCTTTGTCCTTCTACCCACCCTCTACTCCACATCCCTCCCCCCGACTCACTACCCTGTGAACATAGGGGTGCCTATATTCTTTGAAATTCGTGTTTCTGCCAAAACCAGTTTGGTTCAGTTGATAGAGCATCGGCCTGCGGACTCAAGGGACCCAGGTTCTAATCCGGTCAAGGGCATGTACTCTGGTTGGGGGCACATCCCCAGTAGGGGATGTGCAAGAGGCGGTTGATCTATGTTTCTCTCTCGTCGATGTTTCTGACTTTCTATCCCTCTCCCTTCCTCTCTGTAAAAAATCAATAAAAATATATTTTAAAAAAACAATTTGGTACATGACACTGTTGGACACATTTTATAGAATGTGCATTCTTTTTTAAAATATATTTTATTGATTTTTACAGAGAGGAAGGGAGAGAGATAGAGAGTTAGAAACATCGATGAGAGAGTCATCGATCAGCTGCCTTTTGCACACCCCCCACTGGGGATATGCCCGCAACCAATGTACATGCCCTTGATCGGAATCGAACCCGGGACCTTTCAGTCCCCAAGCCAATGCTCTACCCATTGAGCCAAACCGGTTTCGGCAGAATGTGCATTCTTGATTACCAAAAAACTCTTTAAAAAAAAAAAATTGTGTTTCTGATTTCTTCAGATAAATTCCCAGAAGTGGAATTGCTGGGTCAGAAGCTTGTCAGTTTCTTCAAAAACTAAACATGTATTTACCTTATAACCCAGCAATCACACTTCTGAACATTGATCTCAAAGAAATGTTTTGCTTTTTGTATTTTGAAGATCTGTTATTACTAGTAATGCACATTTTTTATTGTTATGCCTTCCAAATAAATTGATCCCTTTATCATTATGAAATGCCCCTCATTATCACTTTGTCTTAGTCTACCTCAGTTTCAGGTTCAACTCCCGGCCCTGGTCAGGGTACATGTGGAAGGCAACCAACTGATGTATCTCTTTCACATTGATGCTTCTCTCTGTATCTTCCACTCTCTGAAAATCAATGGGTGAGGATTAACAACAACAACAAAATAATCTATACTAATAAAAGGGCAATATGCTACTTAAATCAGATGTCTTCTGAACATCCTTTCAGACATCCTTCCAGACAAAGCCATGGTGGCAGGAGCAGAGGCAGAGGCCATTAGGGGTATCAGCTGACAGAGTAGTAGTTATAGGGCAGCCAGCCCAGCAGGGGAGTAATTAGGGAGCGACCAGGCTGGCAGGAGGGCAGTTAAGTGGTGACTAGGCTAGCAGGAAACCAGTAAGGAGGTGATCAGACTTGCAAGCAGAATTAATTAGGTGCAATGAGGCAGGTAGGCCGGTGAGTGGTTAGGAGCCAGAGGTCCCGGATTGTGAGAGGAATGTCTGACTGCAGGGTTAGTCCCAATTCTGGGTTCTGGCCTAAACTGGCAATCGGACATCCCCTGAGGGTCCTGGATTGGAGAAGGTGAAGGCCTCACCATTCCGCCCTCTTGCACAATTTTCATGCACCAGGCCTCTAGTTAATAAATAAATAAATAAATAAATAAATAGACAAAAACAAATAAATGTTTTTTAAAACAGAGAACACTATAGACTAGTATTACTTAAGAATAAAGTTGAAACATTAACAAATAAAATCCATTCATGTATTATTAATATAAACGTGTCCTGACTGATTATCAGTTATCTCAGGATTGTGAAAATAGGCCCTCGTCATAAAAATTTATCAAAGTGAAATCCATCACACTGACTAAGGCAAAAATGACATATGACCATTTCAGAAGATATAATAAAATGTTGATAATATTCAATAATCACTCATAATTTTAAGAATTTGTAGGAAGCTACAGAAAACATCATACTTAAATGCTGAATCTTTGGAAACAATTCCGTCAAAGTCAAGAATAAGACAAGGTTTCTCGAGCCACTACTAATATTCATTAATTAACTGGTGTCTTGACCAAAAAAAATGAGACTAAATAAATAAATAAGTGAATAAGTAAATAAACAGATTGGAAAATGAGAGTCAAATTATCATTTTAAGATCAAATCCATCAATTTTTAAAAATCTGCAGATAAATTGCAAGAACCAATAAAAGAACGAGCAAGGACTCCAGCAAACAACTGATATTTTTCTACCTTCAAATCCAGTGATTTTTTCATTATAAGGTACCATCCATTTGTAAATCATACTTGTACAAATGTGGCAATGGTAGAAATAGTAGTTTTGAAATGTGATTTTTTAAAAATATATTTTTTTATTGATTTCAAAGAAGAACGGAAAGGGAGAAAGAGATAGGAACATCAATGATGAGAGGAAATCATTGATTGGCTGCCTTCTGCACACCTCCTACTAGAGATCGAGTCTGCAACCTGGGCATGTGCCCTTGACCGTAATGGAATTCAGTTCCTTTTAGTCCAAAGGTCAACGCTCTATCCACTGAATCAAAATGGCTAGGGTTTGACATGTGATTTTGATTACTGAGATTCTTAGCAAACAGAATAAAGTTGGAAAAGAGATCTTTTGTAATAACAGGCTCAGTGGTAGATTGAAGAATATGTTTCATTTTAATTCAAACAATTTCACTTTTGTGTTTCCTGGAATGGTTTTCCTTGTCCTAGAAATGATTAAGCCAAGTCTTTTGGTAAAATATTGAGAGAAGCTGTCTTAAGACAGGAAAAGGCCTGACTGAATGAGATCAGTAAAAAACCCTCAGGCTACCCCACCAAAGCATTTAGAAAGAGAAACAACATCCACAAAAGAAGCCTATGCAAAAACAAATTGCCTTTGAAAAATAAAATGTATCAGCAGCATTTGTTAATTATTTCTTTTTTTCTTGAGACTCCATTCTTTCTCTCTTAGTTCTCTCCTACCCAAGGCTTCTCACACTCCTATGCTCAACGTTGGGAATCTCTCCCATCTGTAAATGTTGAAAAGTTTCTGGGTTTGGTTCTTAAACTTACTCATTTTTTAATCCCTATATTTCAATTGATTTCATTCAATCTCTTGATTTGAAATACTCAATTTTATTTCTAACTCTGATCTCTTTCTTAAATTCTAGTCTTGTATATCCAACCACCTATTATCATCTCCATTTGAATATTCAACAAGCAGCGAGGGCTAGAACAATACTTCTAATACCTAAATCAGATCAAGTTATTTCTTTGCTTGCCGTTCATTTCCCATATCTCTGAGGATAAAATGCAAAATCTAAAGCTTCACATGTGCCAAATCAGGCTCTTGCTTCCCTACCCTCTACTTTCTCCACCTATCTTCTTCATTGCAGTAAATTCTTGCTGTAGTCATTAAGTTTTTCATGCCAGAAAATTATAATTATCTTTGACTCTACTTTCTCATATACCATATCCATTCATCCACAAATTCTGTTGTCTCTTCCTTGGAAAATGCCTAGAACCCAACCACTTTTTTCACCTTTACCAACCTTCACCACTACCATCACTTGCCAGCACGATTACAAAAGTTATCTAATCTCCTTGCTTCCACCTTGGTCCCTTATACTCTGTTCTTCACAGGCCACTACAATGATCCGGGATATGCAAATCAAAACAACAATGCGGTACCATTTCACATCTGTCAGAATGGCTGTCATCAACAAATCAACAAACGACGAGTGCTGCAGAGGATGTGGGAAAAAAGGAACCCTCGTGCACTGCTGGTGGGAATGCAGACTGGTGCAGCCACTATGGAGAACAGTATGGAGTTTCCTCAAAAAGTTAAAAATGGAACTCCCATTTGACCCAGTGATCCCACTTCTAGGACTTTATCCCAAGAAACTAGAAACACCAATCAGAAAGGATATATGCACCCCTATGTTAACAGGAACACAATTTACAATAGCTAAGATTTGGAAACAGCCTAAGTGCTAGAAAACTGTGGTACATCTACACAGTGGAATACTATGCTGCTATAAAAAAGAAAGAACCCTTACCATTTGCAACAGCATGGATGGACCTGGAGAGCATTATGCTAAGCGAAATAAGCCAGTTGGAGAAAGATTAATACCACATGATCTCATCCATATAATGATCAACATAATTTGATGAACAAAAATAGATCCAGAGACAATGTAACACTGAACAGACCATCTAACCTCAGAAAGAAGGCAGGGGAGGGGATGGTTAGAGATCAACCAAAGGACTTGTATGCATGCATATTAGCATAACCAGTGGACAGGAACACTGGGACAGTGGGGGCTTGTTCTTGAGGGTTGGAGTGGTGGTGGGGGTGTCAATTGTGGAAAAAGGAGACACATGTAATACTTTAGACGAGATAGGGTGCGTTCAGGGTGGTATGGCCGTAGACGACACATGTAATACTTTAAACAATAATAATTTAAAAAGAATAGAATGCTTGAACCCTGTTTCCCTGAAAATAAGACAGTGTCTTATATTCATTTTTGCTCCCAAAGATGCGCTAGGTCTTATTTTCAGGGGATGTCTTATTTTTCCATGAAGAAGAATATGGTACACATTCATTGTTAAATGAAAATAAAGGAAATTTATTACCTGTATACGGTACAGTAGTACGGTAGTTGTCAACACAAACCAGACAAACTGTGAATCCTACAGTATCAAGAATTTACTCATTTATTCAATGACAATCATGTCGTCATCTTCTGGAACATCATCATAACAATCCAATTCCTGAATTTCCTGGTGAATTTCTTGTGACTCCATTTCTTTCAGAATCAGTGGACCAAATCTCTCATATTTAGCCTAGGGGGGCCTTATTTTCTGGGGGATGCCTTATATTTCACTCAGAAGGAAACCTGTAAGTAGGTCTTATTTTCGGAGGATGTCTTATTTTCGGGGAAACACGGTATATTTCAGAGAGAAAATCTGTGTCATCTCAAAGTGAGAAATGCTTGTTGCTTTAAAGCAGGGGTGGGGACCATATAAGGCCCACAAAAACATTTAGTCTGGCCCTGCCCAGGCCTTAGGGGTGAGTTAATTAAATGTTTGACCAAATACAGGAGGCTAATTTTTAAGTTGATCATTTTATATGGCCTTAAAATGATGTTATAAATATCCAAATAGTCCTTGGTAGAAAAAAGGTTCCTCACCCCTGCTTTAAAACATAGTAGTATTGGTACAATTTACCTGCTTTTAAAAATAGCTTGTTCAATAGTTATTTATTTTTTCAAAGCAACTATAATTGAGGTATGTTGTGCAGAAGTGGGCATACAGCAAGCACAGCAGGCCTTTTTCTTATGTTATTTTTGCACTCAATCATCATTTAAATTTTTCTTCATAAATTCACCAACTATGACATTAAAGTATGAAATAGAGAACTTTACATTTAAAGCTAGCAAAGTATGAGAACATTTTGAAGTCTTTCTCCCTAATATATTTTATTTATTTATTTATTTATTTATTTATAATATATTTTATTGATTTTTTTACAGAGAGGAAGAGAGAGGGATAGAGAGTTAGAAACATCGATGAGAGAGAATCATCGATCAGTTGCCTCTTGCACACCCCCTACTGGGGATGCGCCCGCAACCAAGGTACATGCCCTTGACCGGAATCGAACCCGGAACCTTTCAGTCCCCAGGCCGACACTCTATCCACTGAGTCAAACCGGTCCCGGCTCCCTAATATGTTTTAAGCAAAATTTGACAAAATTCTTAGACACCTTCAGGAGAATGTTGTACATCTTCTTTCAACTTATTCTGAAATACTTATATTACTATAAAAAATTTAAAAAAAGTCCCTGGGCCTATCTGCTGTGTCTCAGTGGTTGAGCGCTGAGCAATGAACCAGGGGATTATGGTAAAGCATCCATCTTATATGAAAACTGCTGTATGAAATTTTAACCCTGCTGATTGGCTTCTGTGAATTCTTGCTTGCTAAAACTACTCCCACTTCAACTAGGCTATTGAACTTTCCCTAGACAAGAGCTGGTGCAGGCTAGGCCTCTGGTTGAGGTCTCAAGGCCCAGCACATACGGGCTCTTTAAGAACTTGCAAAAGGGTGCTGAAACCGGTTTGGCTCAGTGGTAGAGCGTCGGACTTTTTTAAAGAGACATAGAGGATATGACTGCTTCTCATTTACCTGCCTTTTATTTTGAATAATAGTAATTCATCCTTGAATGCCATCTAAGGCTATGGTCTTGTCCCATCCCCAGTGGTCCACTCTGTTCAGCAAGACTTGCTAGCACTGAGACTTCCTGGGAATGAGCCTTCCTAGCACCATGGGACTCCATTATCCAACCAAAGTTTGATCATCAATTCATCCTTTGGGTTGATTTATTATCAAAAGGGAGATGTGTGGGTGAAAAAGGGTCACATGCTAACCTGACTAACTCAGGGAAGGCCTGCATACCCAAGAGACCTCAAATAACCACAGAGTGTTAGCAGGAAACCCTGAGACACCCCCCTTCCCCGGTTGGGTTCGGGCTGCTTGTCGCTGTGTTCAATAAGGAAGGCAGGGTTGAATCATATTAGATATTTATTGAGAAGGCTGCCAGGTGGGGTTGCTAGTGAGCACCCACAATCAAACAGAAGTCCAGGATGTGGCCCAAAGGGTTGCCTATAATTGTGCACTGGTTAAAGGGAAAGGGACTAGGGTAAGGAATGCAGCTAATGCAGGCCTGGGGTCCACCGATGTCAGCTATGGACCCCCAGGCGATGAGATAATGTTGATGAGATGATGTTTTAACTCCTGGTGGGTTGGCCTGGCTATGCCTGTCGGTTCTGTTTGCTGGATTCACAGCTGAGTCACCACTTCAATTGCTTTACACAGGCCTTGAAAAGGAAACTTTAAGAAAAACTCAATCCCCTATTCACACGAGTATCTGTGTTCTAAAACTTAAAAGAATATGATTACTTTTCAGATTAATTCAGCTGCTCTATCTATCCTATCTAATACAAGGCAAATTGTCCCCTCGGGGCTGGAGCTCAATCGACTGGGAGCTCAGCCACTTTCTGTGACGTGCGCGGACCACGAAAAGGCAGCGCAGAACGAAGGGAGGCCCAGGCCGGTGGCCGGAAGCCGCCAGGAGCCCTACCTAGGCACAAATGTTGTGCATTGGGCCTCCAATTAGATTATAAATCCATTCTATCAAAAAGATGAACTAAAATTAAAACCGCCACTGCGTTCTCAGATGTAAAGAAGACAAACCTATAGGATTTCCTGTCGTTCAAGCCCTTACCCATAAGCTAGTGTGAAGGGAAGTCGTTTTGTTTTTTTTTCTAACCGCAGGCTGTACATTGAACACTACCCAGACTGCACATACGGGAAGCTCTGGAGAGAAGCATGGACTCCGAAGGGTTGAAGTGGTGTCTAGCTCTCCAGCTTCTACTGCCTCATTGCTTCTTGGAGACCAGGATCCAAGGTATTTTCCACAGATGGTCTGCCTATAATTGTGCACTGGTGGGATGGAAAAGAGGACGTGGGGTTTGACTCAACCTGAGTTCCATCACTTTTCTCCAGGGGACCGTAAGAAAGTAGGCCCCCTGCCGAAACCGGTTTGGCTCAGTGGATAGAGCGTCAGCTTGGGGACTGAAAGGTCCTGGGTTTGATTCCAGTCAAGGGCATGTACCTTGGTTGCAGGGGATATCCCCAGTAGGGGGTGAGCAAGAGGCAGCTGATGGATGACTCTCTTTCATCGGTGTTTCTAACTTTCTATTTCTGTGTACAAAATCAATAAAAATATATTTTAAAAAAAAAAGAAAAAAAGAAAGAAAGTAAGCCCCCTTTTAGTCCCGTGGTTTGCATTCTGTGAAGTACTAGTAGTTTCCAAATTTTGAATAAAAGGAAGTGTTGGCAGCAGTGGGAGGGAACGAGCTGGTGTTAGATAGGGTGCGGTCAAACCGGATCTGCACGGTGTTCAGTGACCTTGGTACTTGAGTTCTGGCTAGGAAAGGATTCAGAGTCAAGACTCAAATTATAAGAGAACATTTATTTAGAAAAATCACAGAGGTAGGAAAAATAATTTGTAGAAGAAATGGGCTTAGGAAACATGTTAAGGAGGTAAAGGAAGGGCCCTTGGAGCTTGGGAGTGAGGAAGGTAATGCCTGGGGGGAGGAGAGAAGGAAGGGAATGGTGAGGGAGTGCTTCTTGGAAGACAGGGTACTGGGTCCTCCATCCTAAGGATTTTAAGGGTGGAGATTTTAGGGGAGGTTCCAGGGGATGATTGATTGATGATTGATTTATCTTTATTGTTCAGATTATTACAGATGTTCCTCTTTCCCTCCACTTCCCTCTGCACCCCTCCACCCGGTTCCCATCCCATTTCAGGGTGCATATTTGGCTTCTATATATGTAGATGGACCACTGGTGTATATGCCATCCTTCATTGACTGAAGTCAATTAATGTATATATGTACAGTATTTACTTCTCCCCACCTACAAAAAGAGTCAACAGACCTCCTTTTACCTTGATCTTGTAGGTATCATTTTTTTTTTCTCCAACTTAACCAAACCTGAGTTTTTACAGCTGAGGTTTATACAATTTGGGGTACCCCCATATAAGAAAGAACAAAACTGTATGTACAAATAAGAATAAAAATAAATTTAGTTAGGATAAGGAAAGAAATCCCAGTGTGTCACAAGTTTAAAAAAAACTTACAAATACTACCAGTATCACTAGAGCCAGCAAAGCAGCATAAAATATTGGTACTGAAATGTGTTCACGCTTTTATTATGCTTTGCCACTAATTATCTCTGTCTTCCATCCACTTTAAACCTTGTTTCTCTCCACACCTACTGCTGGGAAACTAATCGAACCAGTAGGGAACACAAGCCCAGAGAGGAGATGACTTGTCATTATTTTATTTTGAAAAATCTGCTGAGCCAACCTCAGTGTCCTTTTTCTTTATCACCTGAGGCAGAACTGAATGGATTATAAGCAACATTTTCTGTCCTCAAGCCCACTTCCCAATCTCCAACTTTCATTGAATTCCTGATCATGGGTCTATTATGCCCAGACTTCGTGATCCCCAAGGACCACCAGGGAGCCGAGTCCGATGCAATAAACAAAAGAGCCTCTTCCATGCTAGCATGGGCTCTGTCCCACTCACGCCGGCAGCATGGCGGAAGAGAGCGAATTTCGCCAAGCCTTGGGGTTTTACTCCGGTGGTGATGTCACTGCTTTGGCTGACCCTGATTGGTTGAGTGAGGGCCAGGGTCCAGTTACACAGAATGGAGGATGGCTCCACCCTGCCCCACAGTGGAGTCAGGAGTTTATCCTCGCCCCACTCTGCCCTCTCAGGTCCAGGCTGTAAGCAGAAATTCCTTCCTTCTTCCCTGACCTACAAGCCCAGGCATCTCTGCCTTCTCTAAGTTGGGTCTCACTCTGTCTCACTAGCAGGTCAATTAGCAGATGCAAAACTCGTGCTCTCTGGCAGCAGTGTGAGTCTTCAACTCTCCAATTTGACTAAGAACTACCTACGTCTCACCTGGTTTTACACTACCAACCAGAAAATTCTAGAGTGGGAGACCAACCGGCCTACTCCTAACTACTTCAATACTAAGTTTAAGGACAGAGTCACACTTGATCTTCAAAATGGCACACTCCACATCTATGATGTCCAGGAAGAAGACAGCAGCACCTACATCCTGAAGGTGATGTTGATGACTGGGTTTGAAGAGGAATGGAGCATCCCATTGAGAGTGTTTGGTGAGTTTGGGGAACCCAGGGGCAGGTCCCCATTCTGGGCCCCTGGATGGACCAGTGGGAGGCTGCCTGGTAATCATGGGGCTCTCTTGGGACGAGGAGAGAAAAACCTCAGGACAGGCTTAATTTATTTCTCCTGAAGCCAATTCTACTTGGGAATGAGCCGGGGCTGACAGAGTCCAAATTGATAGTCTTGGGACATAACCTCTTCTGATGTTAATGAGTCTAAGATTTGAAAGGAAGAAAAACAATATAGGTAGTTACTTATCTATTCTCTTGATTTTCTCCTGCGATAAGTTCTGAGCTCATCTTAGCAATATATTTGAACAAAGACTTTATCAGACCTAAGGAAAAATATAGAAGAGATAAAGGATGGAGTAGAATATTAAGGAGAAGGAGTTTTTACTCTTTCTGAATGTATGGGCCAACAACTTCTCATAGTTCTGGCTTAACCAGTATATGTGGAATAAAGACCAGGACATTATTACTGGAATCAGACATTCCTGGGTTAAAAACTCTGGCCACTTACTAATTATGTGACCTTGAAGAAATATTTTAACATTGCTGTGCCCATATTAGGTAAATTTCTTCTTCCTTTTTTTTTTTTTTAAAAAAAAAATCTTTATTGTTCATATTATTACAAATATTCCTCATTACCCACCTCCCTGATCCATTGCTCCCCTCCACCAGGTTCCCACCCCACTCTCTGCCCTTTCCACACCCCCCATTGTCCTCATTCATAGGTGCACAGTTTATGTTCAGTCTCTTCCCACACGCCCCTCTCCCCTTTTCCCCGAGAATTGTCAGTTCACTCCCCTTCCATACATCTGATTCTATTATATTCACCAGTTAATATTGTTCATCAGTTTTTTTTAATTCCCTTGATTTTTAGATTCACTTGTTGATAGTTATGTATTTGTTGTTCATAATTTTTACCTTTATTTACTTTCTTTTCCAAAAGAACCCCCTTCAGCAATTCATATAATTCTGTTTTGGTGGTGATGAACTCCTTTAGCTTTTTTTTATTTTTTATTAGTGAAGCTCTTTATCTGGCCTTCGATTCTGAGTGATAGCTTTGCTGGATAGATTATCTTTGGCTGTAGGTTCTTGCTATTTATCACCTTGAATATTCCTTTCCATTCCCATCTGGCTTGCATGGTTTCTGTTGAGAAATCAGCTGACAATCGTATGGGTGCTTCTTTATAGGTAACTATCTGCTTTTCTCTTGCTACTTTTAATATTCTCTCTTTGTCTTTTGCTCTTGGAATTTTAATTATGATTTGTCTTAGTGTGGTCCACTTTGGATTCCTTTTGTTCGGAGTTCTGTGTGCTTCCTGGACTTGTAAGTCTAATTCTTTCACCAGGTGGGGGAAGTTTTCTGTCACTATTTCTTTCAGTATGTTTTCAATATCTTGCTATCTCTCATCTTCTGGGACCCCCATAATTCTGATGTTGGTTCGCTTGAAGTTGTCCCAAAGGTTTCTTACATTATCTTCAACTTTCTGGATTCTCTTGTCTTCTTATCTTCTGGCTCTTTATGTTCCAAATCTTTGACTTGATTCTTGCGATCTTCCATTCTGTTTTTAGGACTCTGTATAATATTTTTTTTTATTTCAAACAATGTATTCTTTATTTCTTGTTGATCACTTATTATTTCTTATTTATCCCTTATTAGTTCTTGTTGATCCCTTTTCATCTCCTCATAGGTCTTATCGACTTTTTCTAGGAAATTCTTGAAAAACCTTATAAGCATGTTTTTGAACTCTATATCCAGTTTCTTCTTTTCCTCCATTTCTTTTGTTTGTGATCTATTTCCTTATCTCGGCATTTTCACAGTTTCCCTGAGTTGGTAGGGTGGCTTTGTGTGCTAAGGTGTCCTATATGGTTCAGTGAGTCAGCCTCCCAGTTACTTGAGGTGGACAGTCTTGGTGTAGCTTTTTGTGGGCTGTGTGTGCAGTCTTGTTGTTAAGCCTTACTTATTGTTGGTATCACTGGGAAGCATTGATCTCCAAGCCAATTGGCTATGAGGATCAGAAGCATCTCAGCTAGGAGGGTTTCTGTATTCTGCTTGAATGGGGCGGAGTCTCGGGGTGGCACAGACAAGCTTTGTTGAATCCCGCACAAGTGGTTGCAGACAAGCTTTAGATTCCTGTCTGCTCCTCCCTAGGAGAGTCCTATTGGCAGCGAACGAGGAAGCTAGCCACTAGAAGGGCTTCTGTGATCCGCTTGGCTGGGGCAGAGTCTCGGGGTGGTGCAGACAAGCTTTAGTCAGCCCCTCCCTATGAGGAGCTGGTTTCTGAGTCCCGCAGTAATGGCCGCTGGCTTCACACACCTCTGAGAGATCTCTGCCCACTGTCTGACAGTCTGGCCTCTCACAGTTTGGGGCCGTCTATTAGTGCAATAGGGTGGTTCTGTTTTCCTCCCGAACAAGAAAGCCAGCTGCGTATTAGCTGTCCACCCTCTCCGCGCACAGGGAGTAAGCCAGTAGCAAACTCGGCCTGCCCTCTCCGCATTCCACAAGCAAGCCAGCAGCGAACTCTGTGGCCACCTTTTTGTGCGCACAGTTCTCTGCAACTTCACAGTTCCTGAAGTTCAGTGTGCTTTCTTTCTCCTTCCCAGATGATAGAGCCTCCTCTCAGCCAGCCATCTGGTGCTTCAGGGCGATGTTTCCCCTGCTTTCCAGTTCTAAATTCAAATTTGTTGTGGTAGGCTGCATTCGGGTATCTACCCTATGCCGCCATCTTGGTTTCTCATAGGTAAATTTCTTTTGATAGTGTTAATGTTAAAAAGCATTCAGACCTGTAAAGACTTTTTGTGAGTTTATTTGAGCCAATTTGTCAACAGTTGCCAAGAAGCAGAATCTCAAGGTATTGAGATAATAATCCAAAGAATGGCAGTTTTTCACCTTGTTTTATACATTACAATCAAAGGAAGAGTCATAAGTGGAATACACGAACTCCATTGGTGATAGATTAGCGGGGTGGGAGAAAGCACAGCAGGGGAGCCTCTGGGATTGGTTAAAAAGTAAAATTAGAGACACACACTTCTTTTACTTCGGTGGGTGCAGGATAGTTAACAGTCAACAATTAACTCAATAATAGTTAAGGGGATTTGTGATCTCCATGGAGTGGTGCCTGTGCTTTGAGGGGTCTGGAGAAAAGGAAATTACTTTGGCATTCCAATGATATCTTATTGTAGATGCAAAAAGACAATAGATTCAGTTATGGTAAATACTGACCTTTATCACAATGTGACTACCTACCATAAAGTGCTTTTAATTAAAGTTTTTTTTTGTGTGTGTGTGTGTGTGTTTTTTAAATATATTTTATTGATTTTTAACAGAGAGAAAGGGAGAGAGATAGAGAGATAGAAATGTCGATGAGAGAGAAACTGAGTCACCAATTCTGGGTTGGTATCCTGTATTGGGAGTGAGAGGAGGCCAAGAGGGCAGAACGTGCAGATGTGCAAGTCAAAGGGATAGGTGCTCCATCTGTGGAGGTCTAGACCATCATGCCAAGGAATGCAAGCAGCCACCCCAGCCCAGAATGGCCACTTCTGCCAGAGCATTGGCCATATGGTGGCCTCCTGTCCACTGAAGGCCCAGCAGGCCCCCAGATCACAGGGAAAGCCATCCTACTTACAGGAGGAAGAGAAAGAGATCCGTAGCAATGATCCATTCCCAGAGGCCCAGCATTGAGCCCACAGTGTGCGTGGGGTATTCTTCTGTGATCAGGAAATGTCAATGAGCAGGTGGGATGGAGAAAGTGGAAACAGGGTGTGTAGGGGTCAGCTGGCACTGCTATGTATCTCAGTCTGGAGTCCACAGCATCTCCCCCTCTTCCCTCTTGGTGGGTAGGCAGGGAGGGGAGAGGCAAAGGAACTCTAACCACTCTCTATCCAAATGCATGTGAGGGCTTTGGGGGATACCCCTCCCTATATGCTCTATCTGAGTCTTCAGCCCCAAAAGTTCCAGCTTGAAAAGTGACCTGGATAGGGAAGTCGTTTTCCTTTTAAAGAAGGGTATGTAATAATACCATTTCTTGTGCCAGAGTGAAACAGATTAAGCTTGAGAGCAGACTGATAGACCCAACTCACAAAGTTGGGAGGGCATCTCAGGCAAGGCAGGGTTTTTCCTTTGTCTTCATAACCCACTCTTGGGATAGTGTTCTGAGAACTGTCCCAGGCAATGGGTTGTGATGATAGGCAAAGGGGTGGTTGGGAAACCAGTTGCAGACCAGCTACTCCTAAGCTCATTCCCAGCCCCATTCTGGGCCAATACCATTTTTATTTATTTATTTGGTCCCTTGGAAAACTGCTCCTTATCCCACTTTTCCAGATTGCCAACTGCACAAGCTGTGTGGATGACCCATCTTATGCACTTCAACTTTTTTTTTCCTTCTACTTCTAGCCAAAACCGGTTTGGCTCAGTGGTAGAGCAAAAGGTCCCGGGTTCAATTCCGGTCAAGGGCATGTACCTTGGTTGCGAGCACATCTCCGGTGGGGGGTGTGCAAGAGGCAGGTGGTAGATGTTTATCTCTCATCAATGTTTCTAGCTCTCTATCTCTCTCCCTTCTTCTCTGTAAAAAAAAAAAATCAATAAAATATATTTTTTAAAATAAATAAATAAATAAATAAATAAATAAATAAATAAATAAAATAAACTTTCGGGTATTTTGTTTTGTTTGTTGTTTTGTTTTTTGTGTATTTATCTATATACAGAGAGAGGGAGAAACATTGATGTGAGAGAGAAACATTGATTGGACTCCCTCCTACATGTGCCTCCAATGGGAATCCAACCAGTGACCTTTGGCGCATGGGACTACGCTCAATCAATTGAGCAATACCAGCCAGGGCCACTTTCAGGTTTCTTCTCCAATATTTACTTATTTATTCTAACCTCAGGATATTTTTCCATTGATTTTTAGTGAGTGAAAAGGAGAGAGAGACAGAGACAGGGACAGAGACAGAGAGAGAGAGAGAGAAGAGAGAGGGAGAGAGAACAATGTGAGAGAAACACATTGTTTGGTTGCCTCCCGCATGCACCTTGTTGGTGTGGGGGGAATCAAACCTCCAATCCAAGTATGTGCCTTTGACTGGGAATCTAACCCAAGACCTTTGGTGTGTGGGCTGATGCCCTAACCACGGAGAAACACAGGCCAGAGCTTAATTATATTTTATTGATTTTTTACAGAGAGGAAGGGAGAGGGATAGAGAGTTAGAATCACCCATCAGCTGCCTCCTGCACACCTCCTACTGGGAATGTGTCCGCAACCAAGGTATATGCCCTTGACCGGAATCGAACCTGGGAACCCTTGAGTCCGCAGGATGGCACTCTATCCACTGAGCCAAGCCAGTTAGGGCTTAAGCAAAGTAAGCTTCCTTTATTTTATTATTACTTTTTTATTTTTAAAATATATTTTTATTGATTTGGGAGAGGGAAAGAGAGATAGAAACATCAATGAAGAGAGAGAATCAATGACCAGCTGCCTCCTGCACACCCCTTACTGGGGATGGAGCCCAAAATCCGAGCATAGGCCCTTAACTGACATCAAAACCAGGATCTTCCAGTCTACAGGCCAATGCTCTATCCACTGAGCCAAACTGGTCAGATATTAAATTTTATTTTTTGATTACAGTTTACATTCAACACCTCCTTATGTTAATTTCGGGTATTGGCCCAGTGGATAGACACTCATATAGGTTAGTAAGTGATCCCTCTGATAATTCAAGTGCCCACCTGGCACCATATATAGTTATTACCTATATTCCCTATGTTGTAACTACCAATTAGTACTTCCTAATCTATCACCTATTGTCCGCATCCCCAACATCCCTCCCTACTAGCCTCTGTCAGTTTGTTTTCCATATCTATAAGTGTGTTTCTATTTTATTTGCTCATCTATTTTGTTCTTTAGATTCCACAAATGTGATATCATATGGTATTTGTCTTTCTCTGACTGATTTATTTCCTGAGCATACTACCCTCTAGATCTATCCATGCTGTCACAAATGGTAAGATTTCATTCTACTTTATGGCCGAGTAATATTCCATCACATATATGTACCACAAATTTTTTAATCCACTCATCTATTGATAGACATGGGTTGCTTTCATATCTTGGCTATTGTAAATAATGCTGCAATTAACATAGAGGTGGATATATTCTTTCAAATCATTGTTTTGGGTTTCTTTGGATATATATCTAGAAGTGGAATTGCTGGGCCATAGTTCCATTTGCAATTTTTTGAGGAAACTCCATACTGTTTTCTATAGTGGTTGCATTGGTCTGCATTCCTACCAATAGTGCATGAGGGCTCTCTTTACTCTAGGTCCTCACCAACACTGGTTGCTTGTTGATATTTGATGATAGCTTTCCTGACAGGTGTGAAGTGGTATGTCATTGTGGTTTTGATTTGTATTTCTCCAATGAGCATCTTTTCATATGTCTATTGGTCATCTGTGTATCCTTTTTGGAGAAATGTCTATTCAGATCTTCTGCCCATGTTTTAATTGGATTGTTTTTCTGGTGTTGAGTTGTATGAGTTTTTTTTAGAAATTTTGAATATTTACCCGTTATCAGATGTACCATGGGTGAATATCTTCTCCCATTCAGTAAGTTGTCTTGTCATTTTGTTGGTAGTTTCCATATATATATATATATATATATATATATATATATATATATATATATATATATATTAGAGAGGAAGGGAAAGGGAGAAAGATACAGAAACATCCATGATGGAAGAGAATCACTGATTGGCTGCCTCCTGCACACTGCACACTGGGGATTAAGCCCAAAACCGGGCTTGTGCCCTGACCAGAAATGGAACCATGACCTCCTGATTCATAAATCAACACTCAACCATGGAGCCATACCGGCTGGGGTCCCCAACTCTTAAGTAATATATACGCAAAAAGCCCAAAGAAGCTAAGAATACTCCATTCCTTGATCCCAAACTCCTAAGTCAAGATCATTTCTTGATATGTGATTAATGCCAAACCCTTAGATTGCTATATGGAGATGTATCAAGAGTACTTTAACCTCTAATGTTCAAGTAGAGAGGAGCAATAATGGGGCCTTCCATTTTGAAAGTGGGGTTGAGAGACCAAGAAAGGGGAGATGAATGTATATCCAAGTCACTCGGGAATTTTATGCAGGTTCAAGAAACTTATGTCAAAGTAGTGACAAGACTGTTTAGGAGACAGATGAATGTAACACCATCTTTACTGCTGGAAACCAAAGCTTTGTGTGAAACCTTAAATTTATGGGGAGCAAGGGCAAGAAAGCATGTATTTATTTATTCTCTCCCTGATCCCTCCCCCACATTTTTGTCTGCAGGAGACTGAACCTCCTTGGGCTTTGGTGATCCCCATCATTGGGGACTGCTTATTTGATGGCTGATTTTGCTATGCATTAGTCATTTGCAATCTATCATTTCCAATATACATACTGACCCTTTCCCTTTTTTTTCCCCTCTGAGAAAGTAAAATGGATAAATAAAGAAGAGAAGAGGGAGAAAGAAAAAGGCTAATTAACCCAACGGTTCAGGTATGTGTGCCTGATCCAAACATTAATGGCCAAAAGGGTTAGATTATAAAGCAGAAACCTGACCCTAGCAGATCTGTCTGCCAATACTCTGCTGCTCTTTCTGGTCCACAGACTGTCATGAATCCATTTTGTTTCTGAGTGCATAGCTCCTCCTCCTAAACCTCTCCCAGTCTTAAGCTTCCCAGAGGGCCAAGCTGCTCACTAGTTCCCTCTTTATAACCTATGGTTCCTTCTGGGGTAGGAAGTTAGAGAAAAGAGTCTGGGCAAACATCCAAGAGAAGTGTGCACCTCAGAGCCTTGAGTTCCTCATCATAGTACAAGGATAACTGCATCTACCTTTTAGGATGCTATAAAAATCCAAGTGGGTAATTTTAAATGCTAAAATAGTGAAAATAAAACACATTGCATATATTTAGATCCTACCAGCCAGATAGTTCCAGTTCTAAGAGGCTAGATTCCTCTTCTTGTTCACTTCTCCCTTGTCACATGGCCTACCAATTCAGGAGGTACTGAGAACAGGAAATATTCAAAGTCTTTTATAGTAGTGTTTAGAAAAAACAACTCCAAAATTTGTGTCACTTACCAGACTGCGTGGTTAATACTCCCACCACAGTCAGTTCTAAGTTACTAATGGTTTTGCAACCAGCTTGCAAAATTTCTGAATATTTTAAAATCCACTATCTAGTTTGGCTTCAGTCCATCTGCCTGAAGATAAGACCCTCAGGATGTGTTTAGAAGAATTGTCCTTTAGTCCAGCCCAGGAATTTCTGATAGCTCAAAGGGGACATCTTGGAACCAGATTACCCCAGTTGATTCACAAAGTGTCCAGGGCTGTGCTGCTGACCATGAGAAATAAGGAAGGTCTGCAGGACATGAAGCTAGACCACAGGAAGTGGAGGGAGAATTTCATGAAAATTGATTAGCTGAAGCATGCAGGGGAGTTGAGCAATCTGAGAGATGATGAGTCTAGAGTTCAGACACCAGCCTGGTAGAACTCCCCCTGCCCCTCCACACACTTACAACCCACAGGCAAACTATGATTCTCTGTCACATTTAAATCCTGTGACATATGACTCTGCAGATGGTTTACCCTTGACCAGAGTAAAAAAACCCAACAGAATTTTAAGAGAAGTGACCCTAGCACAGGAAGGGACAGATGCTGGGATTCGCCTGTCGGGCAGCAGGACCATAGCTGTGGCGATGATGTGATCTTCAGCATGCTTATAACACAGTCTGCAGAAAACCCTTCCCAGGGGCCATGTCATTTTGCAAATGAGGAGGAAATTCAAGGTTTCCATTATCTTGCCTAATGTCACTCCACCAAAGCCAAGTACAGGGTCCAGGCTGGTCTCAGTTCAGAGCTAGTGTTTTGTCCTTTCTATCTCACAACTGCTCCATCCATCTACTCATTAGATACTTCTAGAATACCTGCAATGTGGCAGGCACTGCTCTAGACACTGAGATACCAAAGTGAACATACACAGTGCTGCTGACAGGTGCTGGGGATTACATGAGGTTCTTCTCTGTAGCTCTGCCAGAGTCCAGAAAAGAGCTTTGCTATGTGCAGGGCAGAATCTCTTACCCCAGGACTCCTGCTGAATCTGAGTCCAAAAGTCTTTGAGGACAGACAGACCAAGGTGTCAACTAAGGGCCATTGCTAGAGAAGGGGCCCTGAGCAGTTCAAATAGTTGGGATACCAGCCCTGACTCTAGCAGATATGTCTGCCAACACTCTGTTGTTCTTTCTGGTCCACAGACTGTCATGAATCCATTTTGTTTCTGAGTGCATAGCTCCTTCTCCTAAACCTCTCCCAGTCTGAAGCCTCCCAGAGGGCCAAACTGCTCACTAGTTCCCTCTAGAGGGGCTTCTGCTCTATGACTCCAATTCCCACAGCACTTGTCACTCCTATTATAGCTTCCTTTGTACACCTTATCTAAACCTTCACAGCATAAATGCCCCACAAATGCATACATCCAATGTCTCATCTTATAACACCCTCCTCATTTTCAGATCCTGTACCTAAGCCTGACATAACAATTGAGAAGACACAGGAAATGAACAACAGGTGTTATCTGATCCTGTTTTGTACGGCCAGAATTCAGTCTGTCAACTACACCTGGTATGGGGACTCAGGACCCATTTCAGAACGTCTCCAGGGTGGTGTGCTTAATATCACCGTTATACCTCAGAACTCCTCCAAGTTTTACAGATGCGAAGCCAGCAATCCTGTGAGCCAAAACAATGACACAGTCTACTTCATTCCACCCTGCAAACTGGGTAAGAAATATTCCAAAGGGAGCTGAGGTAGGTTCAGGGTCACTAGTTTTCTCTTGAGTGGAGAAAGGTGTGGGACCCTTTCAAATTCTCCTGGCACAGAATTTGATGGAAAATCCCAAAGTCATCTGGGAGACTCGGGTTCTACTCACGGCTCTGCTAACACCCTCCATGAACTCACCTCACTTTTGTGGAGATCAGTGTCCTTATCACAAGGACAGTTGCACAGGATGTCACCTTCTCGCCTGCTCTAACAATGCATGGTCCTGGAACCTGAGGGCAGGGTAACTGTAGGACAATTTGAGATATCAGGGTGACCAGAGAGAACAGGGCAAGTGGGAGAGTAGGCCACACATTGTTGAGCAGGCACAATGAGAGGTTTCTGGTAGATAGTCTAAATCAACAACAGAAGAAGGGCCAAAGAGATGAGCATGATTGAGAACAAGGAGTGAGAGCCTTTTCCTAAGGTAGAGACTCTCTGCTCTCCCCAGCTGTGTTCTTGGTGAATTTAGGCAGACAAATTCTGGGTTTTGTGTTTAAGATTCGTCCAGCTCCTGGGAGAATCCACTCACTCACTTGAGCATCACTCCTGAATCTCTATAAGCCTACACAGAACCCATAGTGGGGAGCTAAGATTGGGTAGCAAGTCTATGGGTTTTGGAGTCAGACACCCGGGAAATGATCCTGGGAATGTCACTTACTAACTAAGCAAGTTACTTAGCTTCTCTAAGTCATGTTCCTCTTAAATAACAGACAAAATAATAGTCCTTATTTCGTGTTGTTGTAAGGATTGAATGAGACAATATAAATGACCTAGCACAGTGCCTGACAAGTCTTCAGTGAATGGTAGCTAAATTAGGCAAAGTCTTTTCAAATTGAGAAACACTAGGAGTTTGGGGGATTGCTTAATAAACATGGATTGCTGTCACCAGCATTCAGCTCTCTCTTACTCTCTACACCCTTGAAATCACATCCCTGAACCCTGGGTACATATCCTTCTAGAATAACTCATCCCTGTGCTGCCAACATTTACCTGAGATCCCTGTCATGCCCAGTCATCAGAGACCATGGCCCCCCAAGGACATTGCTCTTTCATGGTCTTCTGGGACCCAGTCTACTTTCCCCCTATGTGTGCTGATTTCTCTATCTCTGCTGCTACAGGTGGATTATGGAAACTATATGTTCTTCTTTATTCTTCCCAACTAAATGGTCATATCTCTTCTAGTCTCTTTGTATTTGCTGCTTTTCTGTCACCTCAGGCTCAATGTGAAGTTTGGTGTCTGACCTTGAGACCACAAGTGGACTGGGCAGCTCCAGCACCACCTTTACATCCTTATGTAAAGATTCCTTATCCTGAGATTCAGGAAAAGGAAGACACAGTCTCCGTCCTTTATAAAAAAAGAGGGTGACTGCTCATTTGCAGCAAGGATGGAAACAATAATACATAAATTTTTTGGAAGGGTTAAACCTATCTTGTCACTTTTTAGCTGCCCAAATTATCCTAGAAAAACATCTCCCTTCTCTATTTTATCACTCATTGTCTTTCCCTTATTATTTTGTATTTCCTTCCTTCTCCTCCTGGCTGTCTCCTCTTCTCCTCTATTTTAATTCCCTTCTCTCCCTTCCCGCTTTTTTTCTTCTACTTGGTACAAATGGTTAATGAGGTGGAGAAACAGGAAGTAGTCCTTCGTTTCCTAAGGTCATCTGTGCATTTAATGATCATCTGTCTATACCTGGAGCTCTGCCCTACTCAATGCTAAAGTGATTCTTTCCCAAGCCCACAGACATGCAAGCACAAGACTCAGCTGAGCCAGTAATCGTTAATGGGTTTCTGCACTCTTTATATTTTAATCTGGGGAGACTGAGCCAGTCTGGGGTGAGGATATCTCAGGCACAATGATACTGGATTCAGGGAGGAGATACACTTTCCTGCTCCCACAACGATGTCCACATCGCCACCCTTTTCCAATGCAATAATCATACACCTAAGTATTTGGGGTTTTCTTGCCTTTTCAGCCCGATCCTCTGGAGTAGGTTGGATTCCAATGTGGCTCATGGTCATGGTACCCACCATTCTTGGCCTCCTATTGATCTGAGACAAGCTCTTATAACTCAAGGGTGAAACTAGAAGACTGCATGATCTTGTCTTCAACAGCAACCATGCTCTTAACCCGAGTAGAAGCTCTGGTTCTATGGGATGGAGAAAATGTATTGAAGCACTACAAAGAGTTTCAAATTAAAATTTTAAAAATCATGACTACAACCCAGCTGGCATGGCTCAGTGGTTGAACATTGACCTGTGAACCAGGAAGTCCTGGTTTGATTCCTGGTCAGGGTGCATGTCCAGATTGCAGGCTCCATCCCCAGGTGGAGGGGGGGGTGCATGCAGAAGGCAGCTGATCAGTGATTCTCTTTCATCATTGATGTTTCTATCTCTCTCTCCCTCTCCCTTCCTCTCTGTAATAAATAAAAATACATTTTAAAAAATCATGACTACATTATGGTGATAACCAGAGGGAAAGAGTGGGGAAGTTAAAAGAGGGTAAAAGAGGGGTAAAAATGGTGAAGGAAGGAGACTTTACTCACGGTGGTGAACACACAATACAATATAGAGATGATGTATTATATAATTGTGCACTTGAAACCTATATACCTTTATTAACCAATGCCACCCCAATAAGTTCTAACAAAATAGATCCAGAGACATAGAACCATGGAACAAACTGATGAATTTCAGAGGGAAGGTGGGGGAGGGGCAAAGATTAACTGGGAAACTTATATGCATATATGCACAGCCCATGAACACAAACAATAGTGTGGTGAAGGCTTGGGAGAGGCAGGTGTTGGGAAGAGGAGGTCAATGGGGTGAAAAAACACTCACAAAGGAGAAATCTGTAATGCTTTCAATAATAAAGATTAAAAAAAAAAACCTAATAAATAAATAATAAAAAAGAGAAAAAATAAGTTGAATTTCACAATTCCATTTTTTAGATCTTCCATAATGATATGTTGAAGTGATGTATTTACATCTACAAATTAATAAATAAATACTTGCAAGATGAAGCACATCAAGACTAGTAGGAGGGCCAGAGACATGGGGTAGAACTGCAGTACCAGCTGGTCCCACATCCACATGTGGCAGTTTAAAATCAGAGGGATATCTTGGCTCCCTGCCCCATACCAGGCCCCAGTCCAGGCTTCCAGTGTTGGGAAGAGAAGCCCCCACAACTTCTGGATGTAAAAACCAGTGAGGATTGTGGCTGAGGAACACAGAGGCTGCTGGAGTCCCAGGCCATTCCTAAAGGACTTACTCGTATTCACTCCCTCTGAGCTCCAGCAATAGACAGACTTGAAAGGACCTTGGCACATTCAGGGAGGAACTACTTTGTCTGGAATCAGGGCAAGAGCTAAAGGGGTAGGCTTCTCCGAGACAGAAGTTTTGGCAAATGCTAGTGTTCCTTTGTTGAACCCTCCATGCCACTGAGCTGACAGGCTGCATCATATCTGAATCTCCATCAACCTTGCGATTCCCTGAGACCCTGCTAGCAGGCTTATCACATCATTTCCAGTGGCCTTTCCATACAACTGGTCTCTATTACCTCATGCTTTGGACTTTCCTAAAATCTCTCAAACAACAATCAGCTGGCCTCAGCATGTCTCATATCTCTCAATAAGCGGCCCCAGGCCTGGAACTAGCAGCAGCCCATCCTGATTTACAACTTGGCCTCTCCTGGGCACCTCTGAGCTCAACACAAGTAGCAACCATCTACAAATTGCTTTGTAGCTCATGCTGGGTGTCCCTGAGCAGGACACAGGGAGAGGCTCACTTTGAACCTCCTGGAAGGCCCCAGAGCCAGTGCATCCAGTGGTCAGCTTCGACCATGCTGGATTACCCCCCACCACCTCCGCAAGTGCCACACTCAAGGGTTGGACTCAGTGAGCACCAGAGCTCCACTATAAGAAGTCCTGTCCATAGGGTGAGCTCCTGCACAACAGCAATACTTCAGTTGTAGTCACAGCCAATCCTTACAACCAACTGGCCTGGGAGGGGGGAATCTATTCTACCCACTGATGCCAACATAAATCAAGACTCAACTACAATAGGACCGTGCATACAGCTCACTCAGAGGTGCAACTGGAGTGCCCAGCTCAGGTAACTGGGGAAGATGAGACACTGGGCCCTTCATGATACCTACTATCCTGTTTCCCCGAAAATAAGACAGTGTCTTATATTCATTTTTGCTCCCAAAGATACGCTAGGTCTTATTTTCAGGGGATGTCTTATTTTTCCATGAAGAAGAATACGGTACACATTTATTGTTAAATGAAAATAAAGGAAATTTATTACCTGTATACGGTACAGTAGTACGGTAGTTGTCAACACAAACCAGACAAACTGTGAATCTTATAGTATTGAGAATTTACTCATTTATTCAATGACAACCATGTCATCATCTTCTGGAACATCATCATAACAATCCAATTCCTGAATTTCCTGGTGAGTTTCTTGTGACTCCATTTCTTTCAGAATCAGTGGACCAAATCTCTCATGTTTAGCCTGTGGGGGGGGGGGGCTCATTTTCGGGGGGATGCCTTATATTTCACTCAGAAGGAAACCTGTAAGTAGGTCTTATTTTCGGAGGATGTCTTATTTTCAGGGAAACACGGTACATAAGGTAACTCTACCAAATCTGGGAGACATAACAGATCTATCTAATACATAGAAACAAACACAGGAAAGCAGCCAAAATGGGGAGACAAAGAAATATGCCACAAATGAAAAAAAATAAAAATAAAAAAACACCAAAATCTCCAGAAAAAGAACTAAATAAAATGGAAGGAAGAAAACTACTGGATACAGAGTGTTATAACCATAGTTACAAGGATGATTAAAGAACTGAATGAGAACTTCAAGGAACTTAGTAAGAATTTCAAGAAAATTAGCAAGAATATCAATGACATAAATAGGACCAGTCAGAAATGGAGCATATATTATCTGAAATAAAGAATAATTTACAGAGTCACAGCTGGTGTTGGTTAGTGGCTGAGTGTTGACCCATGAACCAGGAGGTCATGGTTCAATTCCTGGTCAGGGCACATGCACAAATTGCAGGCTCTGTCTCCAGTAGGGGTATGCAGGAGGCAGCTGATCAATGATTGTCTCTCATCATTGATGTTTCTATCCCTCTCTCCACCTCCCTTCCTCTCTTCAAAATAAATACAAACTTAACAAAACAAAAAAAGAAAATATTTATAGGGGATCAACAGTAGAGTAAAGGATGCTGAATTTGAAAGAATCAAGAATTTGGAATATAAAGAAGCAAAAAATACCCAATCAGAACACACATACACACACACACACACACACACACACACACACACGAATCCAGAAACATGAAGATAGTGTAAGGAGCTTCTGGGTTGACTTTTGCATCTTGGGAATTCTGGGAGAAGAGAGGCATTAAAACCTCTTGAAAAAATAATGACAGAAAACTCCCCTTATCTAGTTAAAAAAAAAAAAAATAGACATACAAGTCCAAATAAGAGGAACTTAAAGGGGCCCACACCAAGATACATCATACTTAAAGTGCAAAGGGTTAAAGACAAAGAGAGAATCTTAAAAACAGCAAGAGAAGCCAAGACCGGTTTGGCTCAATGGATAGAGCATCGGCTTGGGGACTGAAGGGTCCCGGGTTCGATTCTGGTCAAGGGCATGTACCTTGGTTGTGGGCATATCCCCAGTAGGGGGTGTGCAAGAGGCAGCTGATTGATGACTGTCTCTCATCGATGTTTCTAACTCTCTATCTCTCTCCTTTCCTCTCTGTACAAAATCAATAAAATATATTAAAAAAAAAAAAAAAACGCAAGAGAAAAACAGTTGGTTACCTACAAGAGAGAGCCCCTGAGACTATCAGCTGACTTATGAACAGAAACTTTGCAGGCCAAAAGGGAGTGGCAAGAAATATTCAAAGTGATGAAAAACAAGGACCTATAATCAAGATTACTCTACACTCGTAGGTCTGCGAAGTGAAAGGTCCCAGGTTCGATTCCGGTCAAAGGCATGTACATTGGTTGCGGGCACATCCCCAGTAGGGGGTGTGCAAGAGGCAGCTGGTCAATGTTTCTCTCTCATTGATATTTCTAGCTCTCTATCTCTCTCCCTTCCTCTCTGTTAAAAAAAAAAATCAATAAAATATATATATATTTTTTTTTAAAAAAGATTAATCTACCCTCAAAACTATCATTCAAAATTGAAGATCAGATAGAGTTTGCTACACAAGGAAAAAATAAGAAGTTCATCACCACCAAACCAGTATTACATGAAATGTTAAAGGGTCTTCTTTAGCCGAGACCGGTTTGGCTCAATGGATAGAGCGTCGGCTAGGGGACTGAAGGATCCCGGGTTCAATTCTGGTCAAGGGCATGTACCTTGGTTGCGGGCATATCCCCAGTAGGGGGTGTGCAAGAGGCAGCTGATCGATGACTCTGACTTGGCACTCAGACATCTCTCTTACAATCCAGGATTGATAGCTCTCTATCTCTCTCCCTTCCTCTCTGTACAAAATCAATAAAATATATTTAAAAATAAATAAATAAAATAAAGGGTCTTCTTTAAGAAGAAGAAGAAGAAGAACTAATCCTAGCTGGTTTGGCTTAGTAGATAGAGCATTGATCTGCGAACTGAAGGGTCCTGGGTTTAATTCTGGTCAAGGGCACTTGCCCAGGTTGTGGGCTTAATCCCCAGTGGAGGATGTGCAATCTCTCTCTCCCTTCCTCCCTCTTCCTTCCTCTCTAAAATTAATTAATACATATATGTGTATACGTATACACACACACACACACACACACACACATATATATATATGAATATATAATACATTTTTAAAAAGAAATAAAATATAAAAATATGAACAATAAAATGGCAATAAATGTCTATCAACAGTTGAACCTAAAAATCAAAATAAATGAATAAGGAATCTAATGAATAGAATAAACTGATGAATAAAATAGAACCAGAGGCATGGAAATATGAAACAGATTGAAAAATTTCAGAGGGAAGGGAGGAGGGGGAACAGAAAGAGATTAATTAAAGATT